ACCTCAAACTCGATACTAGTAAATGTCATTGTTGTTGTGTACCATCGAGTCAGTAGCGACCCATTGCTGGCCCTCCAGAGGGTTTTTAGAAGCAGTAATCTCACAGAAGGAGATTGCCCATCTTTTCCTGCAGAGCAGCTGGCGGACTCATACCGAGTGCCTTTGGGATTCTAGCACAGATTCTCACCACTAGGCCACCAACAGCACAATTTCTCTCACGAAAAAACAAGGATGAAGTTAGCATCCTCCCTTAAGGTGCATCAGGTCCACTATCTCAGCAAGTCAGGGAGACTTTCTCTCCAAAACACAACTTGAAACTTGCACATCCCTACAACGTAGGTAACTCTGACGGCCTTTCTTTTCTGCCTGGACTACCACTCCATCCAGTGAGAGATTCCAAGTCCTGTCAACATTGTCCATGTCAGGGCAGAACCGTGCTCCACAGGGTTCCCAGAGGCTGGTCCTGCAGAACTAGATCAACAGGACAGACACATAGACATCTGGACAGAACTGTGTTCCACAGGGTCCCCAGCACCTGTGGTCCTGCAGAACTAGATCACCAGCACAAGCTCCTAGCCATCTGGGCCACCCAGGGACCCTGCCTGGACTCCTGGAGTTGACTGCCACACATGCAATCTTCTCGAGCACCAGCCACATGGATGATGTCACCCCATGCCTAAAAGTCTTCACTGTTTCTCCTTTGTTGAATCAGGAGCATTCAACAACGGTTGAGAAACAGGATTGAGGCAATTTCATATTCCAATTCTTAATCTGTCAGACGAGCAGAAAAAATCTGACATAAAACACTGCTATTTAGTAGCAAGATTTATTACTAAAAGTCTCTGCTAACAAGAATCTACCAAGAAATAGAAATAATACCATTTTCCTCAAAGTAGTACCCAAATCAGCGTGGCCAGGTGCCCTGACGTAGACTTCTCTAAAAGAATACTGATTCACTACACAAGAGTGGGGGAAGGGAAGATCATGCTTACAACCAAACAAACAACAGTAGGTACCTTTGATGAACAGGTTTACTTACATGTTCTACAAGATGCTGAGTAAGGTGCAAGAGGAACTGAGGTTTTATAGAACTCTTAGAGCTGTAATGATTTAAACTCCCGAAATGATTTTAGGTCATTATGATTCATCTTACATGGTGTACTGACTTTCTGATATTATTTATTGTCTATTTATCTGGTGGTGTTGTAGATGCCTTCAAACTGATTTTTCACCCAGAACAACTCAATAAAGCTAAACTGTCCCCACAAGAAGCCGTGTCATCATATATGTGTGATCCCACGGGAAAGTTTCCTTTAATCTATGATCTGGAAATGCAGGCATGCATCTCTTTACGAGCACATTTCAGATCTCTTTCAAATGTGTACTGGCCATTTGTGAGTTACGTTTATTCTCTGAATCCCTTGAAAATCTCTTTCAGTATCTCTTTTATAAGGAGAGGGAGCACTGACAGCCTAGTCCATGAGGAGTTGTGCTGCTGATCTAAAGGGCTGTGCCTCCCTGAAAGAAAGATGGGCAATCTCCTTCTTGGCAATTCACAGTTCCCAAAACCCAAGGGAGGTTCAGGCAGGAGTCAGTTCTGACATGAAGGCAGTGAGTGAGTAAGTGAGTGAGTGAGTGAATGAGTGAAGACGTTTATAAAGAGGGAAGTGGCTTGCTCGCTTGTTTCTTCATGAAAGTTTGCCTATGAGATAATTTAGCCCTCTTTCCCCCAAGTCCTCTGTCAAGCCCACCAGCCTTACCATGGGGCTCTGCTGCTCTCTAAGCCTTTTCTTGGGTGCTCTTACTCTGAATGTATTCATTCTAGTAAGCCATAGCAGTGAGAAAACCAGCTCCCAGTGTGCTATGTGAGTCTTTCTAGGGGCCTCTTAACTTGACTCTGATATCAGAAGTGAAGACACGTGTGTGAACTCTGTGCCCTCAACAGCTGCAGTTTGGCTACCACCAGGCAACGTGTCTAAAAAGGCTCCAAAAGAGATTGTCTAAGTCTATACAACTCAGCGGCAGGCCAACAGCCGAGTCCCAGGGCTGGGCAAGAATGACACTGCAGATAGCTTTTTTTTTTTTAAAGAAAATGGTAAAATAAAATTTTTATTTTATACTGGTTTATTTAAAAAGTTTGTATACATTGTTTTTTTCACTGGCTCTTTCCCATTTATTTAACCACCCCTCCCCACGCCCTCAAACTGTGAGACCCTGTAATATTCCCCCTGTTCATCCTTCCCCCTACTGGATCCTTACACATGTTTTATTAGTTATCTTCCTATTTCTTTTTTCCCCTCTTTTTTATTATTAATTTTAATGAAAATTTACAGAGACTTTGGATTTCCATTCAGTCACTGTACTTTTCTCCCTGCCCAATTTCTCCCCTCCCCCCCGCAGTATCAATACCCCAATGGCCTAGCAGGAAGAAGGTATGTTGCAATCCTAAAGGCATGTGATTCAAATCCATCAGCTCCTCTATGGTAGAAGAATAGGCAATCTCCTCCCATGCAATTAACTGCCTCTGTAAACCAGCTGAAGCATCAGCCATGGGTCAGTTCCAACACAAAGCCACATAATAACAACAACTAGGAATAACCCAATACAGAAAATAAATCCTTCAATCAACAAAATACCATCTCCAGTAGGGTGATAAAAAGTCAAGTACTGCTCTGAATACATGCACGGGTAGCAAATGTGCGTGTGCATTTGCAAACACATGTACACATGTACACCAGAGTTTTCTAAAGAAGCAAACTATTGGCCAGAAGTTTAAAGATCAAAAATATCTTGCTTGTAGAGTAATCGCCAATACTAGGTAGGACCTATAGAGAGCTCTGGTAACCTAGTGGGTAAGGAGTTGCACTACCGACTGAAAGGCAGGTGCTTGAATCTACCCGCTGCCCTGGAAAAGATGTGCAATCTCCTCCCAGGAGATTGACAGCCTCTGAAAACTTTCTGGAAAGTCAATTCTGGGTCAGGCCCTGGGACTACAGTCAAGACACTGGAACCCTGCTTCTAAGCCCACACATCAGCATTCTTTTTATTATTATTATTATTATTTATTGCTTTTAATTAAAGTTTACAGTGACTTTGGATTTCCATTCATTCATTGTTGCACTTTTCTCCCTGCCCATCCCTCCCCACACATCAGCATTCTTAAAGCTCAACAGCTGAGTTTGGGAACCAGTGTTACTGTTGTTGTTAAGTGCCACCGAGTCAAGTGTGACTCACAGTGAATGTACAAACAACAGAAGTGAGCCCTGTGCCATCGCCATCATCTCTGAAACACTTATTGCTGCAGTCACTGTGTCAATCCATCTCCTTGGGATTTGAGCTCTGTAGAAATATAGGTGGACTCCTCACATTGTATTGCTGTCTTTGACACTAGTCTAGTGTGCTCCCAATCAACCATGCCAGGAAAGCTGGAGTAATTCCCTGACCAACATGAATTCTACTGTCGCTGATGCCAACCAAGTGACTTCCACTGGCCAAGTTTTCTTGTAGAACACGTGGCAATTATTAAAGAGAACTGACCCTTTCCTTGGCTTAGAGAAAGCCTAAATGAAAATGCTGAGTATGTCGAATTTCAAAATGAAATTTAAGTTAAGGTGTGTTCTTTCTGCTCAGCAAGCAGATGCATAATTTTAATAGGATAAATACCAACTATAAGAACTAAATGAAACAATACATTTCTGAAGGTCAAATTAACATTAATGCATGCTGAGGGCAGTAAGAAGGCCAAGGCTAAGTCAGAAAAAACATCATCACTTCTCATCATCAAGTTGCTGAAAATTAGTTTAAATTATAATTTCTATTAAGTGGAAAAGGAGATATCAAAAGACAGTCTGCACAACACTAACAATGCATTCATTCTCTTGCACACGTCTCATCAAGTTTAGGTTCAATAAGTCACTGGATAAAATGTTTAAGAGTTTTAAAGCCTCTATAAGGTAATTTTCAGTAAGAAGAATTTGTAGCAGGATCCATACTCACAATTTAATTATAGCCAGATGCCATTCCCAATTTTTCATTTATTTTTAGGCTACAACATAGCTTCAGTGGAAAATGAAAATGATGATTAGACACAATTTTCATCACATATGCAGAGTGAAAATAGTAACACTTGGTGTATTTTATGCAGAGTAATTTTTTTAGGAAAGCAATAAAATGTGTTGGGAAATGATATAGTTTAAATATGCTAATTTTATTACCCAGAGGATCTAAAGCAGGTTAGGAGGAATGGAGACAAAGGAGATAATCAGCTGGGTCATTGTTGTTATGTGGTGTCACGTCAGAACTGACTCATAGCTGGCCCTCCAGTGGGTTTTCAGAGGCAGTAAATCACACGGGAGCAGACTGCCGTCTTTCTCTTGTACAGTCAGCTATCGATATCTAAATGCAAATATTTTCCAGCAATCTTCTTTTGGAAGATTTTATACTGCTACTGTCAATGAAAGACCTTCAGCAGCAAACATTTCTTAAACAGCTAACAAAAGCTATTTAAAATTGTCTAAAAAAGCTATCTAAAATTGTCTACATCCTTGAACTCTCTCTTACACACAGACACCCATCTCTCCCATGCTTTCTTTTTGTCACACACTCTCTCACATATATATATTCTGTCTCACACTTTTCGCTTTCATGATTTAAAATGTTGATGTGCCGAGTTAATTTGCTTTCCCTGTTGTCAAGTGACTATGTGGGCAGATGGGTAAAATTACTCAGTATTGTTTAAAAAATGAGAATTGTTGACACAATCACTAAGGCCCAGCCTTAAAAGTTTTCCAATAAATTAAACTAGCCTTATCATGAAACATCATTTTCCTCTTCTGTAATGGGAAGTAGAGTCATTCAAACCCAGATGCTGAATGTGATGACAGTCTGAAGATCTGTTTTGTACTAAAATCAATCTCAAAAATTAGTAGCCCATAATTTTTAAAAAGTAGAATTGGAGAGCAGAGAGTTCAAGAGAGAGTTCTAAACAAATGTAAACTTACAGGAGATGTTGTTAGTCGAAGGATTGTGCCATTTTTAATCTCACTGCGATTCTGAAAAAGAAAACAGAAGTCCTTGTAAATCTTCATGTAGAAACTTGGTAAAGAAAAATAAAAACTTGAATATAATCTTATAGAGATTATATCTAATAAATATTCCCATGATTCTGTTCATTTTCATTCTAATAATTTTAAATTATGCATAAGCCACAGATGAAACTTAGCAGAGGAAAAATCAAGTATAAGTTCAAAGAATAGAAATATGTGTCCAAGATGTACAAACAAAAATATTTTAGAAGTTATTAAGGATACATAGCACTGAAACACAGCTCAAAAGAATATCCAAAAGAACCGAAAAAAAACTTGTCCACAGAAATATAATCATAATTCATTTTTCAATTTACAATTAATTTCATTACTAAAATTATAATGAATATCATTCATCATTGCTTAAAAAATTGGAAAAAAATTCCAAATGCCCATCAACTGATTAATGAACAGGTAGAATGGAGTTATATACACAATGAATTATTATGCCAGAAAATGGAGCAAAGTTTATACATATGTTACAACAGGGATGCATCTTAAAAACATGTTTAACATAAGAAGCCAGGCACAAAGGCCACTTATTATAGGATTCAACACAACAGGAAAAGCCACAGAGACCAGAAGAAGACACATGGTTTCCAGGGATCCAGGAGAGGGACTGACCACATTCTTTTCAGGGTTATGACAACGCTCTAAAATTCCTTGTGATGATACAATGCAACTTGGAAAATATATTAAAAACCACTAAATTGAACATTTTATGGTGAGTTTTATGTCAATTAAATTTGAGTAACTGGGTTGCTCCTGGCTTTAAATTGGCAGGTTAGTTGTTCTGGACACACCCAGTATTGCCAAGGAAGAAAGGCCTGGTAATTCGTGTCTGTGAAGACTGTAGCCAAGAAAATCTATGGGGCAGCTGCCAGTAGTCAGAATTGGCATAATGACAATGAACTTGCTTTGGGATTGTTATATTTCAGTAAAGCTGGTTTTGTTTGTTTGCTTGTTTGTTTTTTTTAAATCATTATGAAGAGGTATGGTGTCTTAATGTTTGCTGGCTCCTGCTACATGTCACTCTGTGTTAATCACAAACCACAAAACTGATCCCAAATCAGGCTGGCCCCACCTGGCAATCATTATCTTAGGTGGGCAGCTGAGGTCATCACTTAGCTCTTCAGCAAGGAAGGTATGATTAACTAGCAGATTTATCTTCTGCCACCAGATTATGCAGCACGCTCAGCTTCTGGGAAGTGAGTGGCCTTTCGGGAGTCATCAGGGCTCAGTGCCCTTCCAGGGCACTCATGCCAGGAGGTGGGCAAGCACCCACGAAGGTTACACGTCTGCCTCTTCTAAGACGAGCTACAAAATGCAATGGTTCTGGGATGCAGTAGTCATAACAAGGTGGTAAGATAATTTCTTAAGCTGCCAAAGACACATGGAATGTTTGCTCACTGAGCTGGTTCCAACTGCTTATTGGAAATGAAACATATGAAAGCCCCTACCTGGAGAGACATACCAGTCAGAGGCAGTGCATTTCAATGCTCTGTCCCACAGAAACCCCAACGTGGCTGTTATTTAGTGCTAAGTGGATGGCGTGGCCTAGTGGTAAGGGGTTGTGCTGACGAGTCAAGGGCATACTGTTTTGAATCCACCAGCCACTCCTCAGGAGAAAGAAAGGCAATCTCCTCCTGTGTGCTTTACTGCCTCGGAAAACTTGCTCAAAGGTCAGCTATGGGTCAGTTCTGACTCGATCACACACTACAGTAACAACTACACACAACCACCTGTAGGTGACTCCCGTGTGAGAGAGGTACTGCAAGTAGGTATCTTCTTGTGTGTAGTTACTTCTGTGTGCAATCAATACGGGGTAGTTGTTGCTGTGTACCACTGAGTCTGAAGCGGCTCAGAGCTGACTCTCCAGTGGATTTTCAGAGGCCATAAATCACAGAGAAGACTGACCACTTTTCTCCTAAGGAGAAGCTGGTGAATTTGAGTAGGTAGTTCAGGCCTTATCCCTCAGCCGCCAGACCTCTCTATATAGGGTATGAAAAGGGTTGCAAACAATAAGAGATCATACCCATCAACAAGCTCTACCAAAGAGACTGTCACATGTCCCTCTCTGGAAACTTGGTCTGGCAGCTTCCAATTCTCCTATAAGCTTCAGACCACCTGCTTCAAGAGAAGCAGCATCAGGGGTGTGCATGAGATTACAGGTCCTTCCAGCACCACCCAGCACCCACTGAATGAGAGACCACTGCAGAATCTTGGTGGTACAGAGGGTAAGGTGCTGGGACACTAACAGAAAGGCCGCTGGTTCACATCCTCCAGTCACTCAGTGGGATGAAGATGAGGCAGTCTGATCCATTAGAGATTCCCAGCACCAGAAACCCCACAGCACAGCTCTGCTCTGACCTAGAGTCACAATGAGTTGGAATCGACCCTCAGTGATCTGGGCATTTTCCTTACAATCTCAAGTAATTACAATACACAGTAAAGTCTAACAATCATTGCAGGCTGACTCTTCCCACTACCCTGCACATTTGAACAAGAACACCACATTGAAGTATCATAAAGCAAATATATTCTGAGTCAGAGGCAAACAAGACTGATGGCAACTCCCCTAGAGTGAAGAGGAGGAAAGATGCAGCAAAAACATTCCTGCAGGGAGATGTTCTGACTGCACACACTGTACAGGAAGAGTGGCAGGCGACCCAGCGCAGCCCTGCTGTCTTACTCACATCCAACCGCGCCTCACTGTGCTAGCCCCCAGCACTCACGGGAGTCTCAATGCAGACTCTGCTTCTTTAGACATCTAGGCATCAACACAGGCTCTGTGTGAGCTGGATAACAAGATTATGCAGAAAAACCTCACTGCTTTCTCCCACACAGAAATTTGGTTTTCTCGATATTCCAGCTTCCTATTTAAAAATAGAAATTGTAATTCCCTGGTCAAATAATCCCAATTCCATCTATCCTCTGAAAGCTACTATATAAAAAGGGCAATGGAGGACCTAAAGTGAGTGGACACTAATGGCCCCTGGAAGCAAGGCTTCTATGGAACAGGTAGCGCTTGATATCACCTTGGCTGGGTCTTTTGGTCTCTTCTTCTTTGTCCATCTCTTGTCTTCAGGTAAGAAGAAGCCCCCTTGGAGATAGTCTTTTAAAATAATTCTGTTTTTAAAATCCATTCCTTAATAATTGTCAATGCTAATATCTGCATGTAGACCTGATCCTTTTGTCCCTGGTGTACCCATCTGCTTGATCTGCCCGTCTTTAGGAGAACCACAGCGGATACACTGGTTGCTAGGTTACAGAGCAATGCCTCTAGACATAGAAGACTGCAGGTCAGAAATTGGAAGAGGTATGTAATAAATATCCTAAAATATTGACACACACACAAAAAAAAAACAAACCCCAGAAACAAAAGGCTAAGAGTTAGGTGAAAAAGAAAAGAAAGAAAAGGTGTTTTAAGGTTTTAGCCCAAGGTTGTTGCCAACAGAGATATAATCTTTACCATGCTCCTTTATAGAGCCACCAAGTTTTTTTTTCTTCATCCATTAAATGGAAGATTGGTAGTTTGACTTCTTGTCCATTCTCGTTCTTACGTCCCTAACTGGTGGTGGTAGTGTTGCTACATGTCATAAGGTCGACAGCTACTCATAGAGACCACAGTTAATTCCTGGGTGGTACAAGAGATTAATGCATTCACCTCATAAGCAAAACTTTTTCTTTTCAAACCACCCAAGAGGGCCTTGGAAGAAAGACCAGGTAATCTATTTCTGAAATAGGTAAAGTGGATGTCACCGTTCTCATACACCCATGGGTGGTGCTTAACTGGAACAAGCTCAACCATGACTGACTGACTGACTGACTGACTGACTGACTGGGTTGATTTTTTTGTTGTGTTTTAACTGAATTCTATTTTCTAGTTTTTTCTTTAATTATTTATCTAGCACTCAGTTACTCTCTACTCAAATTTCTAAACCCAAATAACAAAAAGCAAGGCACATATGGAGAGGTATTCTGGTAGGTACCTATTGTTGTTGTTGTTATGTGCCATCGAGTCGCTTGCGACTCATAGCGACCCTATGTACAAGAGCTCTAAATTCTATCCTGCGCCAACCTAGCCAACTCAAATGCACTTATTCCCACCGCTCGTCACAGAATCGATCCATCTCACCAAAGGTCTTCCTCTCCTTCGCTTCCCCTCCACTCTGCCAAACATGACGTCCCTTTCCAAGGACCAGTCCCTCCTTGCAACATGCCCAAAATATGTCAGACGAAGCTTCAGAATCCTTGACTCCAGGGAACACTCTGGCTTCAGCCTCTCCAGGACAAACGTGTTTGTTCTTCTAGCAGTCCATGGTATAGCCAACACTCTTCTCCAGCACCACAGCTCAAAGGCATCAATCCTCTTTCTATCAGCCCTAATCACTGTCCAACTCTCTGATGCATAGCACATAACTGCGAAGACTATAGCCCGGATCAGGCGTACCTTAGTCTCCAGCCTGACATCGTTGCTCTTCAGAACTCTTGAGAGGTCCCTCACAGCCGACATTCCCAATGCAATTCGTCTCCTTATTTCCTGGCTGCTGTTACCAAGAGCGTTGACTGTGGAGCCAAGTAAATTAAAACTGTTAACTATCTCAATCTCCTCACCATCCATGCTGATGCTGCCTATTAGTGATCTGTAAATACATGAAGGTGAAGGGCCTGTTCAACAGCTCATGGTTGTCACTCTACCTGTAACAAGAGCTGGGGGGAAAAAAAGCAGAGAAGAGGTGACAGCAGCTACAGAGGGTCTCTGAAGTTATGAGGAGCCTGAGGGTAAGAACAGAGGAAGACTGGCTGTTCCTCTCAGTGTTTAAATCAACCACTTGTAGAAGACAGTGATAAAGAATAGTATGCTTTTTTCCTGAGAAGGAACAGGCTTACCTGAAAGGAACATGCACTATCAAATTTCCTACTGAAGGAGTACTAAAAATGAAAAAGCCTTTTAACAGGACAGG